TACCGACGTGCTCGGCGAAAATCTTCGTCAAGGAGATGGAGGCGGCGCCTCGGTAAGCCCGCCGGTAACACCGGGGGCTAGGTCCCACTTACACGAAATAAGCGATATTGACCGTAGATAGCAAAGATCAAGACCAGAATCTCTTAATCCGTGCAAGTGGGACCTTGACCCGGGCCAGCCCCTGTCAGCGCCTCTGTCATTCGATTGAATGAAGGCAGGCGCCGGCGAGCACATAGTGCTCCTGGGAATGAAAAAAAAAAAAAGAAAAAGAAAAAAAAGAATGAGGTCATTCTCACACCAGGACTTTCCTGGATGTCTAGGACCACGTTTCAGCCCTCCTTGGATATACCTAATTGCGATTATGTCCACAGAGAAGCTGAACAAAGACCAAAGTGTGAATATGACCTCAACAGAGTCAACGCGGTCTGTTAGCAAGTACCGCCCCAAGTACAGTCTTGACGATGAAAGAAGAAAAGGAGGGAAAAAAATGAAATCGAGAGGGCAACGATAAACTTCCCAAAACCGCTGAAAAAACGGTAGCCCAGTTGGTACACCCGTGAACGGTTGCCATACAGACCAACCCCCGTTGAATGGAATAAAATTAAAATCATTCTGAATTATCCGGCGGGGGGTCAGTTCAAGACGGCGACCTCGGTAGGAACCTGGCCGGAGTGCCGGGAAAAAAAAAAGAAAAAGATGATATCTCACGCCCGTCGCCAAAATTTTATGCAAGTTCAGAGGATATCGCCCTCCAGCCTTCCACCGCGGGCAGAGCCTCACCCTCTGCATTCTTTTTTTTTTTCTTTTTTCTCCGTTGATCTTTGCTATCTCCTATCGACGGTCAGTATCTCTTAAATCGTGCAAGTGGGACCTAGCCCCGTGACGCACACGCGCGCCCATCGTGGCATCTTGAGCGCCCGCCGAATGTCGCGCATTTTTGTTTTTTTTTCAAATCAAACGTAACTTCATTGCAAAAGAGGACAGGTTCGAGGCCGGGGACCTCACAATTCAACCCGGGGTATCTGACAGCATCAGTCAGCTTAGCTTACAGGCTTTGCCTGCGGAACCCAACACTACTGGGATTCCATGTTACAGAAACTAATTATCAGCACGATTTCACTTGGCCTTGAACATGATAAACCTGCTCACTCGTTCAGTTGGTATTTGTCTTCCTATTCCTGCACAGGATTTACACCTACTGCTTAACAGAGCTCAGCAAACTCAATAATGGTCTGGGACTAGCGCGGCCCAGAGTCCTACCGACACTCGCCTAAGCAGCCCACCGCGGCGCTACTGAACCAAGTGTCCTGGTTCGTGGGTGGTGACTCTGCCTAATCTACAACATCTCTGTTGGGCCGAGTGCCCTGACCTCACAGAGATTTTCTATCACATCATCGTACTTGCCCCTCTAATTTACTGGACTACTACTCCATGATCCATTTTGAGACTACTAACCCTCGAACTGAATGGACTGCAGCCAACCCGTTGTCACGCGCCCAGGTACGGAGGAACCAGGTTCTCTGATTCCTGCTACCTTTCCATGCCCGGGTTTTCCTTCGCCAGTCGACCCTGATGGCGTGCTTGAGGCCCTCTTTGATTCTTCTCTTGATCTCTACATCCGACAAGGGGCGTTTTTCAAACCTTGCCCTGTTTCTGTCTGCCCAGATGCACTCACATATGATGCCCCTTGTCACTTGGGCGATGTATCCCCATCCTCCCTTCCCATTCAAGTCTGCGGGCAGAAAACCCAGCAGAACCCAACGTTCGTCCCATTCCAAATGCGCCCCCCCCAGCTCTCTCCAATGATGTTCCCACCATTTCCACACACGCTTGGATGCGGGGCAGTCCCACCACAGATGCCGAGTGGACTCAAACGGCCACCTGCATCTTGAGCATCCTAGTTCAACCGTTACCCCTCTAGTTCAACCGTTACCCCTCTGCTCTGCAGCCAAACTGCGGAGGGGGTTACCAGAAGAGACAGCAGCCAGAGGATGCTCACTTGCTTGCCGTTCGGGAGAAGCTCTAGCTCCTTCCACAGTCTTTCGAAGTTGGGCTCTGTTGGTGCAACAGATTCCCCCAGCACCTTGGACCACCTTGATACTGCCACAGACGCTGGGGATCTGACAGCTTTGTTTGCAAGTACGTATCCTTCTCTTGAGGTGTACTCAGACAGGAACAGCGGGCCTGCTTCTGCACCCTTTGAGTCTTGCCTGCTCCAACTCCATGCTAGGGGGTCAATGCGCAATTGCTTGAACGGGGAGCGGCCGATCCAGATCAGCATCTCCGCATGATTACCTGGTTCATGACGTGCTACAATTCGGGCCTGCGGGGGGGTACTCCAACATTGGATCACCTCATTCCCCAACAGCCTCAGCCTGTTCCCTTCACCCTCACATTGCCAACTCTCCACCCTCCTGAAACCACTGGGCGTGATTTCAGTAGTCTTCCAAACGGTACCCCCGCTTCCCTGGTCCTCTGCCACATACCACGTGCCTATTGGGTCCACCCCTTCTAGGCCCAGGATGTCTTTCCAGTCCTGTGGAATGGCCTCAAGCAAGGCGAGCCAGTTTTCCTCTACTCGCCTGAGACCTTGCACCCGGGTTTTCATTTTCGATAGCGGTTCCCAGCTGCCTAACAAGGAGGACCACAGATCTCTTATCTTTGACACCCCTTTTTTCAACCAGGCAAGTTCGAAAGTGGCCGTTGAACCGTTTGCAGAAAATACTTGACCTCCCGGATTGCAGATGGCTTGGTTCTCGAAAAGCGGTTGGGCCAACACTTCTTCTTTCGTGCGCGGGGGGGGTGGCGTGTCAGGGGGCAGGCTTCTCCAGGCTCTCAGGATTGATTTCCAGAACAGCGACTTCGGTCTCTTCTTCTTGAAGGATTCCATAAAAAAACAGACCCAGACGTCCTCGGGTCTGTTGAGCCCCCATTCTCTCATCAGCAGCCTCTCTGCCAGGAGAATCCAGTCCTCCTTGGACTCCGCTGTTGCCACCTTAACCAGCCAGGTTCTCAGTTGCGCCTGTTTTTTTCGAGCCGGGTCCCAGAGGCCCAGCCCTCCCTGCGCTCGTGGGAAAGTGAGCAGCTCCCATGCCACCTTGGTTACAAAAACCTCTTCCTTCTTTGCACTTGGTTTCCAGAGAAATCGGGCCACTAAGCGGCGTACGGTCGAAATGATCCCTGCTGCAATTTCACGAACTGCACAAACGAACCAGAGGATTGAGAAAAGAGTCACATTCGCCACTAGTGCCCGACCTATTAGGGATAAATGTCACGCAAAAGCCCCATAACTTCAGCCTGGCTGTGATTCTACTTTGAAGAAGCAGTCCCTGCGATGATGCTTCCACCTGTAGACTAACCAAAACTCCTAGGAATCTTTCCTCTTCACCCTCCTCTGTTCTCCTCATCCCTCACTCTACGTTTGACTTAAACTGAGTCGGCAAAAAATAGGAAGATTTGGACCAATTGACTGAGGCTTCTGACAAGCACGAGTACTCCTGCATGACTGAATTCAGTGCTGAGAGAGCTGGTGTCGTGTTTTGACATACCGCAAACAGGTCATCGGCTAGAGCCTTGACCCTGCACTCCGTTGACTCATTGAGGCTGATGCCCTTGATCAGCGGATGTTTCCTGATACGGTTGAGGATTACCTCCATTTGGAGCACAAAAAGTAGAGGAGCGAGAGGACAGCCTTGACGCAGGGACCTTGACAATTTGAAGGGGGCTGACAGGAGACCATTCACCATTACCGCGGAGGTGGAAAAGGTATACAGAGCAATTACCCACTTGCAGAAACCACCACCAAAACCCATATGCTTCAATGTGGTGATGACGAACGTCCATCCCACCTTATCATAAGCCTTTTCCAAGTCCAACAGCAGTACCGTTGTATCCAAGTTCTCAGATTGTACCACCTCCAGGACCTCGATGGCGGTTGCGATGTTGTTGAAGATGGAGCGCCCTTGGACGAAGGCGCCTTGGTCTTTCTCCACCAGCTCAGGTAAGTACCTCCCTAATCTCCTTGCTAATGTCTTGGCCAAAATTTTGTACGAGACATTGAGTAAGGAGATCGGGCGCCAGTTCCTCACCTCCGCCTTGTCCCCCTTCTTGAAGAGTACCGAGATAACACCGTGTGTCATCTTCTTACCCAACCTGCCTCCCATCAGCACCTCGTTGTAGAGTTCCACCAGTGGTTGTCCTACCGCACCCCAGCATTTGGAGTAGAACACCACCGTCAGCCCATCGATACGGGGCGCCTTGTCTTTCGCCATGGATTTCAACGTTTGGGTGGTCTCTTCGAAGGTAAGAGGTCTGTCCAGGTCTAGCTTTGCTGGAAGTGGAAGTCTCGCCTGCGTGTCTTCCCACAAACTCGAGATCCTTGTCAGATCGGTGTGTATGTTGTCCTGCGGCCGGCGGGTAGTGAGGATATCTTCGTAGTATAATCTAGCGTAGTCGAGCATCCCTGCTGTTGTGGACGCCGTAGGCGCTGCTTCATCGAAGGGATGTCTGAGTTCCACCATTTGCTGCATTGAACGTCGAGGTAGAAGCTTTTGGAAAATTTCTTTATTCATCTTGTCGTTGACTTCAATGCCTTTCTCCTTCAGCATATCGGAACATCTTCGTTCCTTCTCTGATTGCAGGTCTTCCCATTCTGCCATCTCTTCCTCCTCTCTGTCGCCCATGCTTAGGCCGAAATAGGGTACCCCTCCATCCTTTCCTCTGCTTCTTCTACTCTTCTCTTACACTCCGCTTCCTTCCGGTTCCTTGTCCTTACCAATATCTTTGAGCAAACAGTAAGCATGCTTGATGTGATAGCGATGCCCCCGTCTAATCAGTCCTCTGCAGATTAAAAGAGATATTTGGCTCCTTCCCATTCCTTCATGTGTTGATCTACCCACTCCACCAGACCAGGGCCCTCCAGGTTCTGTGCGTTGAGCCTGAAAAAACCCTTACCCCGCTCAGAGCTTACCCTTAACTTGATGTCTGCAATCACAGGTTTGTGATCTGACAGCAGGTTGCAAACCTGCTGCACTGTCGTGAAGCCACTTAGGACTGATTTTGTGGTTAAGTAGTAGTCCAGTCTTCGCCTGGCCACCGTCCCCCTTCTTCGGTGCACGTGGGACATCCAGGTGTAGCCTGGGTCCCCTGGGTTCATGATCCTGAATGGGTCTGCCAACTCGAGCTCTGATGCTAACTCCAGGAGTGTCTGCACGTCTTTCCTGCCTGCTGTTGCTGAGTCCGGCTTCAACGCTTCGTCCAAGGACAGATTCCAGTCCCCCGCTATGATCAGGTTGTCTATCTTTGGAATATGAGAGATAAGGCTGGCGAAGAACCTCGCGCGCTCCCCTGCCTCTGTAGGAGCGTAGATCGTCATGATTGCCCACTCTTCTCCCTATGACTCCAATCTGATCCAGGCCCATCTACCCCAGATATCAGTTTCTGAGTCAACCACCTTCATCTGCAAATCTCTGTGGATTAGTATTCCCACTCCCCCCCTGGTTCCCTGCGCGGGGGCCCAAACCTGAGGCCCATCCCACCAGTTCCCCAACTCGAGTTTTCCTTCGTCCAACTTTGATTCTTGAATAAGTAGGCAGTTAATCCTCCATTCGTGTACCCAGCTTTTCAACCGTCTCCGTTTTTGTCCACCGCTTGTGTCTCCCAATCCCTGGAGGTTCCAAGAAGCCATCTTGAGTCTATCCATGAGTCTGCTGTATGACCGCTTACTGTTGGATGCGGTTGGGGTCGGGTTGATCGACTTGTTGGTTGTCCGGATCTGCAGAACTTGCTGGCGTCGCTGCCTGTGGCATGGACCGGGACTGTATGCTGCCTCTTGAGCTGCCATGGGAGGAGGTCGCCTGTGATCTCGTGGGCCAGTCCTTCGTCAGCATGGAATACATGAAATTCGATTGCAGACCTTCCTCCGCTGGCAGCTTCTCGCAGAGGTTGAGCAGAATTAAGGCGCTGATTTCGTGAAACACAGTGATTTTCTCGAGTTCCGGGGTGTTTCGTTCCCTTACTGCATCCATGTGATACCAACGGACCTTGGACTGGGTCAGCGAGTGAGCCGATTCCGGAGGGCCCCGTGCATCCAACAAGGGGAAATAAAACTTGTAATACCCTTGTGAAGTTTCGCAGATAATATTTATCACTGAAGACTTGGGTATTACTCTAATCGGAATGTGTTCCCCGTACAAACTTCTTGTTTTCTGCAGTATCACACTATGGGTTGGTGCTCTGTCCACCTCCTCCGAAGGAATGTATGGTCTCCCATCAGCGCTCGATAGTGCTAGAAAATAAGTGCCATCCCTTGCTTGCATACATACCAACGGCACAATCCTCCGCCTAACCGTTTATGCTTGGTCCCTGTGAATCAGATTCGTCCTTCTGTTGCGGTCAACCTGCTGTCTCGGAGCTGCACTCCTCTCCTCTTTTTGTTGCAACCTGGAGTGCGCCGAACTCTCCATTGAGGAGGAGGAGAGTTCCCTGCTCAGTGGTTCTTCTTCCTTCTCGCTTTCCATCTGGATACGGGACTAAGAGGAGATCGAGGTTCTTGATAGCTCCCTCTGGATGTCAGTCGCCGGTACCGCTGACGGTTGCCCATCCCTCCCGTAACCTCCATCACACTCATCTCCCCACCTTCTCGCTTCTCTGTCATGGTTACGCAGCCTGTCTCTGGTGATAATATTTTGCTTCCTCGATTCCTCTTCCACCTATGTTCGCCAAGCCTTCCCATTTCTCCTCCTCTGTCTCATTAGACCGTGTTGACGATCGCCGCCCATTGAGCAGCCTGTTTCTCCCATCACGTTATGCCCGACTTGTTCAAGCGAGCCTGTTCCTTGCTGCATTTGCTGCTGAGCTAGGTCCCTCCAGTCGTATGAGTTCGATGGGTACCGCGGCCTAGGATGAACAGGGAAGGTATTGAACGCTTGCGTGTGAGGCTCATGGTGATGATGGCTCACTGGTGGGCCGGTAATGATCCATTGATCATACCCTGGATAGTCTTGCGTGTACTCCAAAATGTCATTGTGTCCTACAGGCTGTGTGATTGTTCCACCATACCTGTCATAGCACTCTCGTCCAGCGTCTTGCATTCTCCAATCCAGCTCCCTCTCGTCCCTTAGGGGAACAAAATTCTCTGGGATCGAGGTTATCGGCCAAGTTCTCCGCTGTTCCCATGTGGGCAAGAGGGTTGGATGTGGAGGCTGCATTCTTCCTCGAAGTTCTGGGGCCATCTAGTGCCAGGAATCTCTGAATCCTCTTTCTCGTGCCTCCCACCCTCTATCTGCCTGTGTAGAAGTTGTGTGACCCCCCTGTTGACTTGAAATTCGGCTTGGGTGACTGTGGGTACGCCTCACTGGGGCGGACTATTGATCTCCCTGTCCTTCGCTTCTGACGGGTCTGTCTCTCTCATTTGTCCCTCCTTCTCTGTCCTGTCTGTGGTCTCGTGTATTCTCCGATCCCTCCTCCCGCCTTGTTCGGGGGACCCTGTTCAGCGTGTGTTGAAGGAAGCGTTCCTTGTGTCCACATGCCCGAGCGCCTCCTTCTCTTCTCCCGTCATTGTTTGGTTGCGACCGTGGGCAGTTTTCCTCTATGTGGAAATACCACTTGCATTTCCTGCACCAGCCCGTAAACGGAGTAGCTATCTCGACTCTCCATCTTTCACCATTAGGGGATTGAATCACCAGGACGTCGTCAACGTTGAATCTTGCGTCTGGATGCATATCCATCTTGACGTTCATCAGTTTCGGTCGCGTTCTATCGTACTCGGGGGGGTGCATCTCCAGCACTTCTCCGAACATCCCCCTGACTGCTTCGCCTAAGTAGTAGTAGGTGTCCAACTGTACTCTCAAGGCTACAATCCAGAAGTTCCTCTCCGCTTCCTGCAGTTTCCTGTCCCGAAGCTCCTGGCGGGGCATCCAAGGCTTGAAAGTTGTAATGTACTCTTTATTTCCCAGTTTTAGTTTTGCCTCCTTCGATCTCAGCATCCAGTCTGCTACTTCCTTTACCTTGGCTACGTAGGAAACGACATTCTGGCCCTCGAAGCGGATTCTGCCTCTCCTCGTGTCAGGATCAAAGATCTGTTGCGGCATCCACCCGTCTTCATAAGCTCTGATCAGGTCCTCCTTGACCTGCCTTGAGAGGTTCCTTGCTTCTTCTTGAAAGATCAGGATTACTGTTCTTTCTTTCAGCCAAGTCACCTTAATGTTGTCTACAGTCTCATCCACTACGAACCTTCTTCCTTCTTCATCTTCAACCACCACTCCCAGTTCCAGTCCATTCGGGCAGATGCCTTCGTCGTAGCATCTGCTAATTGATTCCCGAACCCGGTCCTCCGAACCTTGATGTGGCCTTGATTGCACTGGTGACGCCGAGTTCCTTGCTGCACTCGAGGCTGCACCTCTCTCGATCCCTTCTTGTTGCTGACTTGGAGCTCTGCGACTTGGCGGAATGTACCGGCCGGTGCTGGAGGGCATCCCTGGTCCCGTCCCCCTTTCCATCTTCTGAAAGTCTCGACTTTTGCCGTGATCCTTGAGTTATGCTCCTGATATGCTCCTGATAACTGGTGCCCTGCTAAACCGTGCCGCTCTTCTTCGCTGCTAGTGGACCAGTCCGTGTAATCTGTATGTAGGAGGAGGAGGGCCCCTCAGGTGACTGAGCAAGGATACTGAATTACCGAATTCGCTATCCTTGAACCACGTGTATGATTCCACCTCAACTAGCGGAAGGCTGTGCAAGAAGGCTTACGGGAGGGGAGAACGCAGACCGGATCGAGCACTAGTCACGGAGGACAGTTACGAATGCAACACAGCAGTTTGGCCTTCTTAGGTGATGGGCCTTGGAATGAAATTGAGGGTAAAGTTTGAAAGTAGGCAATGGAACCTTTCGATTTCGGAAAGCAGCGAAATTCACGATGATGAAAAATAACAGAAAAGGAAGGGGGCGACAATCGTGTAACTTATGTGAGAGAGGGACCTTACTTACGAAAGGAGAAGCACCGACTACGGTAGAAGCGATAGCAGAAGGATAACAACCAGCATTACAAGTCCTTATAAGTTCCCCAAGATGGAAGATTATTGAAAGGATAACGAGACAGGGTGCACGACAGAAACAATAAATCGGGGAAAAGAGGATAAGTTCGAAAATCTCTTCAGTCAAAACAGAGCATCGTCGAAGATCGAAGCCAAAGGACGGGCATCATCCAATAATAATATCAATAGTTGTACAAGTACCAGTGACTTCCCTCTAACACGATGCCGAGCCGCTCGCCATTCAGTCAAACCTTACCCCACTTCGTAAGGCGAGCATTCGGGCGGTTCCTATCATATGCTCGTCCTAACTTATGATCGCCCGTCCCCCACAACCGAGTCCTTCCTTGCTTCTCATGAGGGTAATGTTGGATTTGATGATGTGGAGTTCGAGATTGGAGTTTGGAGACGAATTGAGAAAGAAGGAATTTCAACTGGAACTTGGATTCGCCATCACCTATCGAACTACCCTCTGTTGTTCGCAGACAGATCTCAGCGAAAACTAGTACGGCGGGATGATGATGTTCGCTACTATCCTTAGGATGATCTGTCGCACTATCGAGCTGTCTGTCAACAAGTGACTTTGGATTGGTACTAGCGGCCAGAGTAACTACAGCCCTAGGTGGGTGTGGAAGATGACTTCGCAGTAAGATAGGTATTATTACCACTTCCCCACTTCATCTTGTTTCTACTATGACCGCTTACCATGCTCCTCCTTATCTCGACTATGACTGCTTCCCATGCTCCTCCTTGTCCTCTTCTCCTTAGTGTCAGCATTGAGAGAGCGATGTGAGGAGAAGGCGCATCACCGCTAGTTGGGGTAGACCGGACTTGCAACTGGGATCGCTCGGGAAGATCGTTCCTTCCGTATATCGGAGGAGGCCAGCAGGCAGCGGATCAATGTTACTGATTAACTAATCCCACTACCCTTGAGCTTCGTGTACGAATCAATCCTTAACGAGCGGAAGGTTATGCAGGTGGGAAGTCCGGAGGGAAGAGCGTAAGCCGGGTCGAGCGCTGGTCAGGAGGGTAAGATTACAAGTTCAAAGAAAAACGCAGGCTTTAGGTTCAGAGTATTGTTGGAATTGGGGTGAGATTCGAAGTTGAAGCTGACCGGTGGAATTGAGAACGAGGGAGAAATAGCTAGAACTTAAGTTTGCCATTGTACTTCGAATACTGTGTCAAGGAAGAGATAGGTCCCGACTAGTAGCTTGACTGATTACTCCGTTTGATCTTCGGAGCAAGAGCGCACACGGGACTTCCGCTCCCAAACCAAATCACCTGTCTGGCAGTGCTAGTGTTAATTCCGATGAAGAGCAGCGGGAGGAGAAGACATGGATGACGAGACGTCAGTTTAAGGAGAGGAATACATATTGACGCCCAGAGGCAGAGAGTGAGATGCCGAGAGAGGGAGGGGGGGGGGGGTGTACAGAAGGAGTAGGAAATGCAGAGAGAAAGAAAAGCAGTGGGAGGGAGAGAGTGAGAGAGAGAAAGAGAGAGAGGGAGAGAGAGAGAAAGACTGTGTGTACGAAGATGCATCGGTTGATTCGTCGATTTGCGCGTTCACTCCTCTTAGAGGAGTCAAGTACAGGGTAGCCCCGGAACGGACTCGCGTGACTAGAGCTCAACGACCTCCTCTTTCCTGTCGAGACTCGTGGCGCCTCTCACAGCAGTAATGAGTGGCAATCGAGACGACATTGCATCGATTTGCTTTCTTCTCACCTTTGTTGTCGTTGCCGAAACTTGCTCCTTCTTCTACCTTGGACGGGTACTGTGACGCTTTGTTCGCGATCATGAAGGACACACTACTCCAAGACTGCAATCGGTACCGGTGGTCGATATGAGATGATTAGCAGCCGGCGTGACAGTTCTGACACATCTATCTTGCTTCGACTATGACCGCCTCCCATGCTCCTCCTTGTCCTCCTCTCCTTAGCGCTGACATTGAGAGAGCGATGGGAGGGGAAGGCGCATCAACCGCTAGTCACACTTCTTGCAAGCATACGTAGCTGGATCTTTCTCACGTGTCCCTCGCCTAATGGACGATAGGAGGGACACTCTTCCCGTTTGCCTCTCTCACTTCAACCTTTCGAGTCTCCAGATTTTCCTTACCCCCTCGGGTTGCGTTCCGTTACTCGCAAGCAGGTATCGGCACAGAGGCACGAATGGATGTTGGTAATCCGCTATTGAGATCGTAACGAGTCGGTCCCTAGTTTCCTTCTTTGTCGAGATTCACCATTGACGATGTGGCGGTTGCGGTTGCTTGCCCTTCAATACCTATCCCCATGTTTGAGACCCGACCCAACGAGCCTACCCTGAAGGTGGTATGTGTGTCTTGGCTTAAGCAAATATCGGAGATGGAGATCATCTCTTGATTGAAAGCTTCCCATGAGAGGAGATACAGAGAGAATAAGGTTGTACTTATAGGCGATGGTCGATTCCCACTAGGCTTCTGCTATGGCTATGGCTCAGGTGGACACATAACCAAGCGTGGCCACTCACACATGAGATGGGATTCAGTGCAACGGAGCAGTATCCACAGACGATGGTCCATGCTCCATATTCCTTGCTGTGCCTATGACAATGGTTTGAGTGATTGTAATCAAGCGGTGCGTGTTCCGAACGCGAGCCAAACCCAGCAACGAAACCAACTGGGTCGCGAGAGGTAAGTTCTCGTTTTTTACCTTGGTAACAACCCTAAACTATTCCTTGAAGCTTGGACCATCGTTCGAAAAACACCGTTTATCTGGTAAACCCGAATTCTTTCCTTGTGCCATGTCAGCTATCCTGCGGCTATGGAGTGAGAGAAGACCTACCCTACCAGCGCTATGGACTGTTCGAGAAGGAAAGCATGCTTCGAGGCATGGCCTCCACCTACAGAGGTAGGCGCGCACGTCCTCCGTCCCGTTCCTCGTCACGACGACGAGGCTCATGGGTAAACAGCGCTACGCGCGGTGAAACGCGTAGCGGTGCTGTTACCAGAGCGCTACCGCTATTCGCCCAGTACCAGCGCTCCCCCCACCCTCTGCATTCTTGGGGCAGCGTTGCTTTTTCAACAAGATATATATTTATATGAACCGACAGTCTGTGGAGTTTTCCATCTGGTGTGGGTGGTTGAGGCCTGGACCCCACAGGAAAGGTGTTGGAAAAGTGACGATTTTTGGATTTATGTGGAAGGGTGTGTGGAAGAGTTTGCCACGGGAGAGTTCCACGAGCCTGGAAAGGCTGGAAACTGGAGATGGACCGGATGGCGGTAGCTTATGTCCATTCCAAGGGGTTTTGTTCCTGTTTCGGTTGTCCGCTCGTAGGCGGGGAGTGACAATGCGCGACAGGTGCGCCATTGCTGGGCTACAATGCAGGTACCACTGCATCGTGGTACACGTGCCGCCAACGGCTAGATTTTTTGTTTGTGTGCGGGCCAAAGGCGATGGCGTGGGGGCCGTTGAGAGACGGAGCAAACGGGGGAAGGAGGGG